AAAGCTCAGATTGGGCATGTCCGTGGGAGAGTGCCTTATTTTTTAATTGTGGAGGGGGTTTGCAGTTCACACTGTTGGTGTATCACTCCATGGGCAGGTGGTCATGATTTATGTAATAGGGAGAGCTAAGTTTACATCTTAGGGTAAGCCAGTGTATTAGCTATGGTTCTTTAGAGGCGCATAACTGGCAGAATATATAGAATAGCGCGTGCTCGCTCTCTCTCTCTCTCTCTCTCTCTCTCTCTCTCTCTCTCTCTCTCTCTCTCTCTCCATCTATCTATATTGAAAGGAGATTTGTTAGAGTGGCTTCCAGAATGTTGTCCCTCTAGCCCAACAATGGCTGTCTCCTGATAGGAGGACCAATAGTTTCATAGTTGTTCAGTGCATGAGGTTGAATGTTTCAACGTGTCTTCAGTCTGTGTTGGGATCCTCAAGAAGAAGATTCTAATATTAGTGGAATAATACCTCAACAGCAGGGAAGATGAACTCACCATCAAGAAGACGGAAAAATGGGAAGAAATCAAAAGCTTCTTTCTGCCTTGTACTTTATACAGGCTGCCACGTGAGGGTGTGGCCCAGATTTAGGGTTGATCTTAGGTCATCAAATGATCCAGATGTAGGGTGGGACTTCTCAGCTCCAGGATCCAATCAAGGAAATCCTTCACAGGTGTGTCCAGCTGCTGGATTTTAGTGGATTCCAGACTTGGTCAAGAAGACAGCAAAGGACACCCATTGCAGCCAACAGATAGCTTCTTCTGCTTTAGATTCCCCTTTGAGTTCCTGTCCTGATTGCCCCCAATAGGGGACTGTGGCTTGTAAGTGGTGTTAACCCTTTCTTCCCCTATGTTGCTTTTGGTCCTGGCATTTGTCGCAGCAGCAGAATGAACCTAGAACACTCAAACCCTTCTTTCTGTTTCCCTGTTTGCTCTGACCACACTGAAAATGCTATTCTGAGTTTTGAGTTACATCATGCTCTTCTGACCACAGGAATCCTGCACTTGCTGTCCCAACTGCTCCTGTGTTTGAATGGCTGCCTCCCATATACCATGCAGCTCCCATGGTGATATACAATCACTCCAGATAACTGCCACTCTCCAGCCAGTCCTATTCACTGTCTGGTCATCTTGCATTTATGCATTAATTTTAGCATGGTTTTGGAAAGCAAATTCAGCTTATAAAATGTAGAGTGTTTTAGAAAAGACATCATGTGCAGTTTGCTTTCTCTGTTTCCAATATAGAAAGCTCAACGTATCTTTAATTTTTTTTTCATAAAAATTTGACAAGCTCCAATTCATTTCCAGAAGATACCTTAAAAGGATGTAAGTCAACTTTTTGTTAGAGTTACATTGTAGTGAAATACAAGTGGATGATTTCCTTGGGATTTTGACTAGATAGGTTAAGATTGGATTCATTCCCAAATTCTGTCAGTGTGTCCTTTCAACTTACTGCAATGAAGCCTTAGTCCCTCTCCACATGAGGATTATACAGGCCCTTGGGAGCTGCCCTTCCACCAAGACCACCCACCTGGCTTGTTGAGACAAGCTACCCAGCCATGAGGCTGCCTACCCTGGGATCCTCCTGCCTCTGCCTACCCAGCACTGGATGTGGGCTCCACTGATCAGCTTTGGATCCTCTCACTTTGAGGAAAATGTCTTATGGACTGTGCCAGAAAAATGTCTTATCTCCTTGGATATCTCAAAGCGCTTTAAAGAGGTGTCAGGCTCAGTCCCATTTTATTCATTGCATTGCCCACCAAGGTCACCAAGTGGCAGGATTTTAGTTCACGTCCCTTTAACTTCTCATCACGTTGGAACCTTGAAAGTCTTAGGGCCTCTGGGGCTTGGAATCCATTCTTCCAAGAAGGACGAAGTTCTGGAGAAAGATACCTCTGTAAGAAGGAGTCGTGGGACTATTGATACCTCCTGCTAGGATTAGATGCTGAAGCAAAGCCAAAGTCTAAATCCACTCCTCCCCTAAGGCCCACCAAACCGGCCTTGTGAGTCAGCAGCACACGTTCCTGGAAGTTATCTGGTCAATTAGTTAAGGCTGCACCACACTGGTAGAATCTTCAAGCCCTTTTCCTTCTGTATTTGCATGTTTTCTTCTTGATCCACAAATAGCTGGCGCACTTCCCTGGAGCCTGTAACCATGGACATTCAACTCTGTCCTACATGAGAAGGCACAGCCTACATGACAAGTTGTATAGCTTTAATTATATACAAGGGCAGTTCAAATGTTTTTAAATTTGTTTTAATCTCTAAAATTAGATGGAAGTATATAGATATTCTTATTTCTGAATAGTTTTTGGTTTCTAAAGAAGTTTTCTATTGGTTGTCCTAGTCCAGTGTATATACAAGGAAACATTTTTCTCCTCTTGAGGACAAAGAATATGTCTTTAATTTCATATTTGTGCCCTGAAACTTCTGCTGTGTATGAAGGAATGAACACTTTTTTTAAATGTTTGTTGACCTCCATCCTGGCTGGTTTTGTGTGTCATCTTGACACAAGCTAGAGTCATCAGAGAGGAAGGAACTTTAGTTGAGGCAATGCCTCTATGAGATTCAGCTGTAAGGCATTTTCTCAACTAGTGGGAGAGGGCCCAGCCCATGGTGAGTGGTTTCAACCCTAGGCTGGTGGTCTTGGGTTCTATAAGAAGGCAGGCTGAGCAAGCCATGGAAAACTAACCAGTAACCAGCATCCTTCTACGGCCTCTGCATCAGCTTCTGCCTCCAGGATCCTATCCTGTTGAGTTCCTGTCCTAATTTCCTTTAGGGATGAACAGCAATGTGGAAGTGTAAGCCAAATAAACTCTTCCTCCCCAACTTGCTTTTTAGTCATAGTATTTCATCACATTAATAGAAACTGTAAGGAAGACAATCTCCATGGAAAATACTCTAGAATTCACCTCATCAAACATGGCCCATGCTTGCCTAAATAGAAGAATCATTTATATCTCCCTGGGACTCCATTGGAAACGTTAGCATCAGAATTGGTAGGGAAGCACTTAGCAGTCTGAATTGTTAAGGTGCATAGGAGTTAATTCTATCACATGTAAATTTGGAGAGCCCACACCTATGCTACAGACGGTGTAGAAACTGCCAGTGATTTTTTTTTAGTTTCTTTAGGTCTTTGGTATCAGGTAAGACAAATACACATTTTCCAGGAGGACAGAAGGGTTTGCTGTGATGCTGAACACTCTTTGGGGGAATTCAAGAACAGTTGTTGAAGTGCAATTGAGTCTCATACAACAGAATGGTGGTTCCCATCCACCCATGATGTTGCTGCCTTTTTCTATGCATTGACTTCAACATCCCCTTTGTACGGCTCAATGACTTTCTGGTGCCCTCAGTTTGTATATGATCTGTCAAAGTCCCTCGGCTTGAGTCATCTCACTGTTACCTGCTTCCTAGGAGCTCACTGAAACAGTTTCAGTTCCCCAATTCAGTCTTTGTAAGTGGTCACTCCTTAGCTCAACCATTCCTAGGTCTTGGGCAAGATCCCCAGAGATGGTGTGGCCGGTCACCTATCACTGCATTCACAGGCAACAGTCCTGACAGGCTTGGGGACAGGCACCACGGTGCTTTGTCACTTGATTGACAGGATCCCGGAATTGCTTTTAGGAAGTATTGAGACACTTCATGATTGTACGTTGGTACGGTCTTGGGACTGTGCTTGAGACCAGCATGCCATGGCTTAGTCGCAGACATCCCTCAGAGCTGTGCAACTGAAGGTATATGTGACTGAGCAGCAGCAAGAGACAAAGTGTCTGATCAGCCTTTGCTTAGCATTAAGGTTCCTGTGGTCTGATTGCCCAGAGCTTTTCATTGTATTTTGACCATGGTTTTAGGAGTCTGTGTTAGTTAGGGTTTCTGTTGCTGAGGAGAGACACCATGACCCCAGCAACTCTTATATAGGAAAACATCTAACTAGAACTAGCTCAGAGGTTCAGAGGTTTAGTTCATTATCATGGTGGGACATGGTGGCCTGCAAGCAGACATGGTGATGGAGAAAGAGCTGAGAGTTCTACATCTTGATCTGCAGGCAACAGGAAGTGAGCTGTATTCTACACTGGATGTAGCAAAAACATAGGGGACCTCAAAGCCCACTCCCATAGTGACACATGTCCTCCATCAAGGCCACACCTTCTGATAGTGCCACCCTCTATGGGTGCCATTTCCTTTCAGACCACCACAGGGTCTAAAGAGTCCTTCAGGAATGCCCTTAGTGGCTATGAGAAAGGGTCAACAGAGGTGTGATGTCTAACAGAAACACCTTTGTGGAATCTATTTCATTTAGAGTGGATCAGGTACTGTTCTGAGTTTTAGCAGTCACGTCAGAAGTGAAGAAGCAAGGAAACTGTTTTGCCCCAAACTTTGTTCCAGTTTTCTTGTGTGTGTGTGTGTGTGTGTTTTATTTTTTATGTGTGTATGTGTGTGGGTGTGCGCACATCTACCATGTACATGTGTGAGTATGTACATGGAGGTCAGAGGTCAACTTCAGTTGTCATTTCTCAGGTGTGTTCACCATGGTTATTTCTCTGGCCTGGAGCTAGCCAAGTAGGCTAGAATGGCTACCAGAGAGCCTTGGGGATCATCCTGTTTCTGCTTCTCCAGTGCTGGAATTACAACTACATGACACAATGCTTGGCTTTTTTTTTTAAATGGGTTTTGGGGATTGGACTCAGATCTTCATTTTTGCAAAGCAAGTGTTTCACTCAGCTATTTTCCAGCCCCACTCTTTGCCCCAATTTTCTCTTCTAGGTAAGCTGTTCACTGGACTCCTTGGACATCACCTGGGCTTTGACCACGGGATGTCTACATCCAAAACATGGCTGCTCTTGACTCTCTCATTGCTCAAGTTTAAATCAAAATAAAATTCCGTCTGTCTGATCTCAGATTTACGACTGTTCTGGGAAATGTCACAGAAGCAGAGGCGGTGTTATTACACTAAAAATAATCCCCAGAAGCAGAGTCATGCAGAAGACTTCTGGAGCTCTGGCTCGAAAAGCTCCCGTGATGTCTGGTGACAGGTTCATTTGAGGTCCAAACGATGGAACGCCACTCAGAGGTAGCAACGGATGACTCTGTCTGATTGAGTTCGCATGTTAGTTACTGCTGCTCTTCCGTTTCTTTTTGTTTACCATGGGCACAGAATCCTGGGGAAGACCACTGTCAAGGGTCACATTTTCCTCCAGTTGCAAATGGATATGGAAGCTTAAGGCTGGGATCGCAGATGCTTAGATTATAAGATCCCTTTTTATTGTTCTGGCCCATGCGGGATACTTAGCTGCTGCTCTCTATTGCAAAAGAGAAACCCAAAAGTGAAGACTGTGTGTCTCTAGTAAGAGTCTGGATGTTGGAGGGCCAAAGTAATCACACACAAAAATACAGGAGTAGAGACAAGGATCCTGGGCCTAAGAGGAGGGAATTCTGAGACGGCAGAAAGAATGCTTTATAAAGACTCCTAGAGGGTAGTGATGAGACTTGGGAACTTGAAATCTCTCTCATGCTACTTACTTTGGAAATTCAATTCTCACCCAGTTAGAAAACAACTCATTCAATTTACATACTTTTTTTTTTTAAAGAAAAAGGAATGGTGTGTGTGTATGTGTGTGTGTGTACATTAAGCTCTTACTCTGTCACCTTGGCTGGCCTTGAACTCACTCTATAGCTCATGCCTTGTTCCTGCAGGGTCATTCTGCCTCTGTCTCCAAGTGATGGGACTGCTCCACCACACCCAGCTGAGATTTACTTTAAATAAATCTCCACTTGAGATTTTAAAAGTAGAAAGTCTGAGAAAAGGCAAGATCCATACAACGCAGTGGCTGTCTGCCTAAGATTTGATCAAAGGGATCATGTCGTGAATGAGTCCTGTGGTTGGTGGGATGAAGGATGGTTTGAGCAAGGGCATTGACATGGGGAATAGGCTGACTAGCATAGAGGTCCAGGGTGTGGTGGAAGGAACCTTGCATAGCCAGAGAAAGGACAGGTTGCAGATGATTTTGAGCAAGTGCCTAGTAGACAAGACGGACAAAAGAGAGAGATTAAGAGTTTCATAAGTGGGAAAATGATGGTGAGTGCTTTCAGAGAAATATCTTAGGAAGTTATTAAAAGTGAGTTGGCAGGCTAGCATGGCGGCTACTTAGGCGATTTGAAGTTAATGAGGCATGAACCCAGATGGGGAAAACCGAAAACTTCAAAGCCATTCAAAGGGACATATGCTAAGACACAGTGGCAGGAAGGGGACATGGGAGGTCCAGTCTGGAAGACTGAGTGAGGGGAGCTGGCACTGAAACTGGGGGTCCTTGGGAGGAAGCTAGTTTGGATGGATAGAGAGGTGCCCGACTCAGCAGTGAGAGGACAAAGTTTAAACTTCTACAAGCTGGAGAGGTGAAAAGTCAAGTCAGACTCACAGATCCAAGAGGCTCTAACCTGGTCCTGATAGTTCAAGACACAGAAAGGTGGAGAGAGGTGAGCAGAAGGGTTCCCTGAGGGAGAAACAGGGTGGGCTCTGTCAGTCTGGACATAAGTCATCTCCTGAGCCCCTTGGCCATTTCTTACTCAGCTTTGAATCTCTAGCTTGAAGCATTGTGACCAATCAGAACACATCCCAGAACTACTGGGAGAGTATGTGATCCTAACCCGCTTTGGAATTAGCCTGTGGCAACACAAGAACCTCAAAGGCAAGCGCCTGAAGCCCTCACCTGAGGATGATGGTTCTAGAGCAGGACCAGCTTCTAGCTCTTCCTCCTCAGTGGTGGCAGTTTCATAAATGCGAATATGGGGATGTGTCCAGACTGTATAGCAGCACCGCTCCCGCAGACTGTGTCCATCACAGACCACACCGCTTTTTAAAAACCCGGAACGATTTCTAAACACGGTTGGATTTTGTGTAAGCCCTTGCTTTACGGACTCTATATATTCCATCTAGTAGATCTTGGCAGTCTTTACTTGTTGAATTCCTGAAGTCTAGAAGCTAGCAGCCAGAATATTTCCTTTGCTTTTTTCCTCCTTCTTTTCCCCTTTGAGAGGAGGCGGTTAGTGTGTTTGGTGTGCCAGCCACCCTGGATGGATGTGAGGCTTTAAATGGTCCCTTTCTTTGCAGGTAGGTTGGCAGCTGGAATGCTGCTGGCAAAATGGGCAACTTCAGATGCCCGGTCCAGAGCAGTGAAGCCCATTTGAATTGCTTATTCTTTCTTCCTGCTGGGGCTGCCTTAACATTCTACTGGGTATCCACTGAGCTGGGGGCATATTTGCTTTCTCCTTTCTAAAGAGTTTCTTTGTGAAAAGACAAAACCAAGATGTTTGTTCTGTCTCTCTCTCCTCTCTTTCTTCTCACCCCCCTCCCTATCTCTCCTCTTAACTTTTTTTTTTTTGTCCTAGAGTGTAGATTCAAAACTCAAAGTCCTTAGATAGTCTTGAACTTGGCATCTAGCCTAGGGCCTGCTTGTCTTATCTGTTTTTCTGTATTTATACTACTGTGGATACCCTGGCTTCTTGCTGCTGAACAACACAAGATGTTTGCTGCTTAATTTTAGCTCTTGGCCCTGTAGGGCGTCAGTACCCCCAGGCTATGCTAAGAGGTATGCTTGGCATGTCTTCTCTGGGTCGACCTTCTTTCTGGGCATTGCACGGTGCTCTTTTTCTTCAGGGTCTCTCCCCCACAGCGGCCTCACGAACGCCATTGGATAGCCTCTGTGGTTACATGATACCCAGCTGCTATGGCCCTAAGCTGGGAGCAGAAGTGCACGACACCATGGACTCTCCAAGTCAGAGAAGCCCCGAGATCTAGTTTAGGGAATGGAATGGGAAGAAGGGGAGAGAAGAAGGTGTTGCCGGCAGGGGCTGGAGATAGCCCAGCGTGGCCTCCAGTAGGTGATCCCGTCACTGGTGAAGTTAGAACCTGGCTATGTGGCCGAAAAGGCTTTGGAATGGTTAGCTTAGTTGTTAAGAAGAGACAAGGGAGAGCGTCTGCTTCAGATTTAAAGGCTGGCCTGTGGAAGCAAGGGAGGAAAAGAAAACGGAGAGAGCTGGAGGAAAAGAGGCCTAGGGAAACGACAGCATTCATCTCAGACAGGATGGGACCTTCTCGGGAGACAGAATTGCATCCAAGTGTCATAACAACGGCTCCATCATCTGTCCGGGGAGCATCCATTTGCCAGTCATCCATCTGTTGTCTTTCAGGTGTCCATCTTTTGTCTTGCTTTCACTTGTTAGGCTGAAGTAGTTTTCCGCTCTCACCCGGCAGAAACTGTAGCCAGATTTGGGGCTGTGTTAGTTACTTTGCTGTGCTCAAACACCATGACCAAGGAAGCTTAGAAATCAAGAGTTTGTTTGGGCTGTGGTCCCAGAGGGTTAAAGTCCACGATGACAGGGAAACATAGCAACGAGCAGCCCGCATGGAAGCTGGAGCAGAAAGCCAGGCACTCCCATCTTGAACTACAAGCAGGAAGCCAGGGCACTGGCAATGACCAGAGGCTTTGAAACCTTAAGGCCCAGCCCCAGGGATGCACTTCCTCTCGTAAGGCCATGCCTCCCAGACCTCCACAAGCAGCACCACCAGCTGGGGACCACACGAGCCAATGGGGAACATTCTCACCCAAACCACTACCACTACAGTGAGTGAGATGCTTCTTTCCAGCTTGTGACCCCTTAATTTCCCCATCTTTGTATCCTCAGTCTCTTCTCACCTTCATTCAGTGTTCACTTTCTGAGTACCTGCCAAGGCTCCAGGACAGCTCTCGGGTGAATGAGAAGGCCTGGGCTGAGAAAAGAGGGAGAACGACAGGCCTTTTTCTAGTTCAGGTAGAAGGTGAGATGTGATTGTTTTCCCTGTTTTTCTTTCATGGAGTACCAATCCTTCTTCTGAGACGCAGGTGTAGGGAGCCTGCGTGCAAGTGTGTGGGAAATAATCCCACACAACGACTACTCGCTGGCTACCTGCTTGTACCACAGTGACTCAGAGGTTCCAGGGAACTAGATTGGGGATATATTATCCCCCAGCATTGCTGTCTCCAGGTTTGAAAGGTTTTAATGGTGGAGACTCAGCCGTCTTTCCAAGGCCAGCATGCTAGGTCCTTGTGGGTGGGGGCTTGTCATAGAGTACACGATAGAATATTCTGTTTTTTTTGTGTGAGTCTTTGATTAGTTTCAAAGCCAAGATGATTTGCCGTGCACCACAGCAGGTGAGTCCTTGAATACTCAATGTATGCCGGCTTGATTCCATTCCACAGGGAGTCATTCTTGGTAAAAGGTACAGCTACGTTAGGCTGGAAGCTGTTGCTGTCCCCTTCCTTTGTTGGATCTAGCCTGTGCTCCAGAGAGCCTATAGAATAAGAGTGGCCATCTTGATGCCAATTGGGGTCGTGGGCAGAATGACACAGTGGATGCAATGTTAATTGGTCTGGTCACTCTGATTTGGTGGTTTCAGGCCGTGGACAGGCTGAATGGTGGGCCCCCGCCCCAGGGCAGTCAAATGTTCTATTGTGGTGACTTGAAGGGAGAAAGAACAAAGCAAATACGGTTCCCTGTGAGTTTACGTCTTTGTGATGCAAGGCAAATGCCTAATGGAAGGAATACTGTAACAATTGTCAGGGAATGTCCCTGTCCTGATTCTGCTACTGACTGACTGAGTGAGTCACCCGGTCTCCTGTGCTTGAGATCTCCCATCTGCCACTAAAGGAGAGCGTGTCTAATCCTTCTCTGTGGCCGGAACATGGAGAGAGTTATTCCAGGGATTTCCATGGTAAAGATTAGAGATAACGATTAAAGATAGGGTGTCCATGTCAGTCCAGCCAGCGGGAGCACTAATTTCCAGAAGTCAATAGTCTTGAAGCTGGGTGTTATCCCACACACCTATAATTACAGCACGTGGGAGGGAGGTAGAGGTGAGAGGGTCAGCTGTTCAAGGTCAGCTTCTGCTGCAGGGTGCAGTTGAGGCCAGTCTGGACTATGTGAGATTCTGCCTCAAGAAGCAAAACAAAACAACAAAACAGAACAAAAGCTTTTTATCTGTAGAGTGGAACCAATGCCTTGTTTTCTGGGTTGTCATGAAGCCAATGTGCCATGAGATGTGTAAACTGGCCAGCATAGCACCTGATAAATGCGTTTGTTGCATATATGTGTATGAGACACCTGTATGTTTATATACGACTGTATTTATGTGAGTGTTGTCCAGGTTTTCTGGGACTGTGATTTGTAGGCTGGTTTTCTTTGCTTTATGTTTAAGAACCACTTTTGAGTGAGTACATATGATCATTGTTTTTCTGGGTCTGGGTTACCTCACTCAATATGATGTTTTCTTGCTCCATTTATTTGCCTGAAATTTCAGGATGTCATTATTTTTTTTTTCTCTGTGTAGTACTCCATTGTGTAAATGTACCACATTTTCCTTATCCATTCTTTTTAGTCGAGGAGCATTTAGGTTGTTTCCAGGTTCTGGCTATGACAAACAATGCTGCTATGAACATAGTTGAGCACATGTTCTTGTGGTAAGATTGAGCATCCTTTGGATATACCCAAAAGTGGCATTGCTGAGTCTTGAGGAAGGTTGTTTCCTAATTTTCTGAGAAATTGCCAAACTGATATCCAAGGGGCTGTACCAGTTTGCACTCCCATCCGCAATGTAGAAATGTTCCCTTTTCCCCACAACCTCTCCAGGATAAGTTGTCATCAGTGTTTTTGATCTTGACCATTCTTACAGGTGTAAGGTGGAATCTCAGAGTTGTTTTGATTTGCATTTCTCTGATGACTGAAGACGTTGAGCATTTCCTTAAGTGTCTTTCAGCCATTTTAGATTCTTCTGTTGCGAGTTCTCTGTTTAGGTCCGTACTTCATTTTTTTTTTTTTTGGATTATTTGTTCTTTTGATGACCAATTTTTTGAGTTCTTTGTATATTTTGGAGATCAGACCTCTGTCTGATGTGGGGTTAGTGAAGATCTTTTTCCATTCTGTAGGCTGTCGTTTTGTCTTGTTGACCGTGTCCTTTGCTTTACAGAAGCTTTTCAGTTTCAGGAGGTTCCATTTATTAATTGTTTTTCTCAGTGTCTGTGAATGTACTGGGGTTACATTTAGGAAGCAGTCTCCTGTGCTGTGCCAATACGTTCAAGTGTACTTTCCACTTCCTCTTTTATGAGGTCAAGTGTAGCTGGCTTTATGTTAAGGTCTTTGATCCATTTGGACTTGAGTTTTGTGCATGGTGATAGATATGGATCTTCATTCTTCTACATGTTGACATCCATTTATGCCAGCACCATTTGTTAGATATGCTTTCTTTTTCCATTTTATATTTTTTTCTTCTCTGCCAAAAATCAGGTGTTCGTAGGTGTGTGGATTAATATCTGGGTCTTTAATTCGGTTCCATTGGTCCTCCTGTCTGTTCTTATGCCAATACCAGGCTGTTTTCAGTACTGTAGCTCTGTAGTAGAGTTTGAAGTCAGGGATTGTGATGCCTCCAGAAGTTCTCTTGTTGTAGGATTGTTTTAGCTATCCTGGGTGTGTATCAAGGACTATTTAAGGACAATTGATTTGTCAACCCGAGAGGATGCAGGGCTTGTTTTCTGAGTTGGTGTCTTATAGCTGTGGTATCAGTTGTGACTCATTTACTCAATGGCAGATTTGATGATACTGTTATCTCCATGAAGATGCCGTTAGTGTCCATGTTCAAGACTTTGCTCTTTGCTCTGCCTGAGCATTTGCCTTTCCCTGTGGGTGCAGTCACCCATTTGAAGAAACAGGCTCTGGCCAATCTCTTCAAGGTCTTGGCCTCCAACATATGCTGCTTATGAACTGAGTTATATGGCCAATGATACCCTGGGAAAGAGAAGAGGCAGTGGAAGGCATTGCTGGGACCAGAGAGCCGACAGGAAGCTGGGGGTAAGGACTGCCCTACCGCAGCTAAGGTGACCATTCAGTACTCTAACAATTCCCCTGGGAAAATTACACAAGACATCCATAAACATAGGTTATATAGAGATCTGAGCCTTCTCACTGGTTTTAGGAAGTAAATTGGAAAGTTCTAGAATCCACCTTGATGGCAAAACCATAATATTTGTCAACATGGGCTTTGTCTGGTGTTCCAAGTAAGTCTGGGACCTCTTTGACCCTCGGCTTCTTCTTCCATTCTGGGGAGAGAGTGTAATGTGACTTTTCTTTATAGTGTTTACCAGTGCTTAAAATATATCTACCTGTGCTTCCTTTAAAAAAAAAAAAAAAAGAAGACACATTCCCTATATATCCTTCCCTCTCTCTCATCAGCTTCATGGAGGCTGGGACTCTTCAGCCTTGTTCTCTTTCAGATCCTTGGAAATTCTGGCTTGTCAATACTCCATAAATGTGCCCAGTGCCTAAGTGGATCAATGAAGGCGATGGATGGAGATCACTCTGTGTAATGAGGACTAGACGAGATGGATTTCCTGTCAGCAGTTACACGTAGAAAAGGTGAAGAGCTATTCAATACTCCTGCGATTATCTCTTTCCTTCCAAAAAGGCTATCTCAGTCTAATCCTGGTGGGGTCCGGCAGAACATGCAGGTCTCAAGGACTGGTAGTCAATGTCCTATCACGTAGAGGACTCTCCCAGGACCCTGGCAATATAGGGCCCAGCCATGGGTATCTGGAGGAACTCTTTTCCTCTGTATTAGCACGGAACAGCTAAAGAGACACACTTTAGATATATAATAATAATTGGGCCCTTTGTTAATTCTATGCACTGTGAAAGGATGTCTGTGAGACACATTCTCATGTCTACACACCTCACCGAGTAGAATATGCCATTACTCACCTTGAAGCTGGTTGTTTAGCTATGCAGTTCCTGGCTGCCAAGGAAGACAGCTGATGCCAATTTTCTAACCCAGGAAAATGTAAATTCAACTGGTAAATTCAACAGTGGAAATGAAGGGAGGGGCTGAACCCCTGTTCCTCACAGCTATCCCAGACACAGTGGATCCCCATTTTTTCCTTGTCCCCCAAACATATCTCAAAGCAAACTGTCCATCTTGGAATGAAATGTCAGCCTGCTACCCTGGGCTCTCTCTGTGTCCGTTCTCTAGGATGCAAGCTTATAATCTATAGGGTTAGGTGTGGACGAGCTCATTAGTTAAGGCGTCAGAGAAGCAAAAGGTCTGCTCCTTCTTGGAAGCCCGTGTTAGTGTGTAGCTCATTGTGTGTTCCCCCTCCCCCCGTGTGTTCTCTTTACAGAGGCTGATAGCTCGTCCTTATCTGGAGTGTATTAGGTCATCCAAGAGAACTCCGGTAAAGATTTTCCACAGAGCATTTGCAGTCACCTTCCTCTCAGATCGGTGGGATTCTTAGAGAAATTGGCACACCCTTCCTAAGAATCGCAATATCCATCAGTATTTACCTTGGGGAGAAAGTCTGGAACGAACGCGTTATGGCAGCCCTACTCCCCTCATTGTTGAAAATGAGAGTGGTTGAAATAACAGCTGAGACAAATATTTTCCATATTCTGCAGAGAGTAATCAATATTTGTGAGGGAAGTAACTTGGCAAGAGTGTGACCATTCCCTTTCTGAAGCATGTTCAACTTTGCAGGACCTTTTCCTTGCAGGACCTTTCTTAACCACGGCTTGATGCAAGTTCTCGGAATCAACCCTCTTGGAGGCATCTAAGTCCCTTTTATCCTCCTAACGTTTCGGTGTAATGACACTAAGCCTGATGAAGCTAGGCCAAAAAATGGCTGATTTTGTTCCCTGGAGCCCTCCCTCTTCACTGTGAGCATTTACAGTCTGATTAGCTCACCGCAGGCCCAGCTGTGCAGAACAGGCAGCCTGTGCGCCTCAGAGCAAAGGAGGAGAAACCTTCCTGTGAACTTCAGAACACATGTCGGGCTGGAAAGGGCTTTGCTTCCCATTCATTTAGGGTTCTCTGCTCCCAAATAAATGGCTGTAAATGGAGAGGAAGGGATTTGATGTGTGACTAATTTCCCAGGGGGACCTAAATATCTCTCCTTTTGACCCCAGTGTCTTGCCTCCCCCATCTCCCCTTTGAAAGACTCATAGCAACTTCATTACGAGGTGGGTGTCAGTGAGGCAGCACAGGCTGGGGACCAAGCACGCCGCCCAGCAGTGGCATTCCTTCCATGATGCTCAGCCAGTAGGATCTCAGTGATCTAAGGGGACTGGCAATATGTGTTGGGTGGGTTCAGCCGAGGAAGTAGCTTAGTTTGGTCTTATAAGGCCATGGTTCCGGCGGAAGCAAGACTGTCTCCCTCCAAAAAGGGCTCTGAGCATTCCCAGATGACATCTGTGGTTTTTCCAACACACAGTCGGCCTCCTCGGCTCCTCGCAGGGCTTTGGTTGTGCAATCAGGACTTGGCAGGTTCTTCGTCCTGTGAGATCTGTACATTTTCAGCTCTGACATCTCAAAAATAACCATTGAATCATTTTCACCAGGGTGGTTTTATCGTAAAGCAGCAACTTTCTCGCCCACAGTTTTCTTCTTACTAACCAGGACAGGCAGTGCGATGGTTTAGGGTTGAGGAAGGTGACATGGAAAGAGGGCTCTTTTCAGAATGGAGCGGCCCAGGTTCTGCTTCCCCTCTTTATGGTCACAAGGACTTTGGTCATTTAGGGCCTTGGTTTCTTCATCTGTAAGGATGGGAAGAGAGTTGCCGAGCAAAATGCGAAGATTAGCTGTAACGTAAACTGAGCGCTAAATAAAGGGATTGCCTGCGCTTAGTGCCTTTTTGCACGAAAGAATGAGCGGCAAGTAGACGGTGGAGTGATGCTCCCTCTGCAGCAGGGAGAGTCATGATGCAAACTGTGCATGTAAGGAATATAAGCAACCATTTTAACCCTCCACCAACCATGCATGCATGCACGCAGGCACACACTTGCGTGCACATACACATGCACACGGCTTTTGGAAACCTTTGATGAATAACTTGCTTCTGAGTTTAGGCCAAGATGATGTGTCTCTGAGTTAGTTTTCAGCCCTCTGTTTGTAGTTGTCTGGGAATGTCTGAACTGTGTGCTCTGCGGAGAGTCACGGAGACCATCCTGAGGCTTTGCTTTTCCAGCCACCAGCTGTTAGCAGGTACAACCAGGAGACACTGCGTCCATGTTTCATTGCCATCTGGGGTCTGAAGATAGAGGTTTTTCTAGGTCTTGGAACTCTCTCTTATCACTCAGCGTTCGTGCTATTTCCAACAGAGTTTATGGCTGACTCTCTTTGGCACAGTCACAAAAGTCATGGCCCTTCCCTTCGCAAAGTTTCTCTGACATAATATTGGCCACCATCTTCCCAACACGCTTAGTTAGTAAAAGCCTGTTATCTCACAACTACAAAATAGAAACAAATCAACTTAATGGAACAAATCAAAGCAAAAAAACCCTGCTTGAGACAAACTCGTAAATTGGCCTTTTAGAGTCTTTTATCAGTAGTTGTTGGAAACCTCTGTACTGAGGCACTGGGTGGCAGATGGATGAAGGATTTGGAGTGTGTTTGCAGGGGAAGGTCAATACTCCACTTCAGAAACATCGGCCAGTGGTAATGGAGGGAATGGTTTGGAGGGGTCTGTACCTAGATGCTGGGAGGATAGGGACATGATGTGAAAGAGAGAACACAGACTCAATGCTGGCAGAAAAATAAGAAGCAGTGATATGCTGAAAATACTGTTTATCAGATAGAATAATTGGGGCTTGGTATTCTGAGACACAGAGAGAAGAAAGATAGAAGACAAGGATGAGGAAGATGCTTGCTTTTCTAACTTGAGAAGATACTTACATGGTCGTCCTGTTTACGGAGGTAGAATGTTACAGAGGACCAGGCTAGGGGAAAGAAGCATCCTGTGTTGAAACTTGAGATGTCTAAAAATCCTTTGGTGATATTGCATATGTAGTTGGATATTCAGACCCAAAGCTCTGAAAAAAATTGTTTTCTAAGCTTTGAGGTTTTCAGCACCAAGTTATCATTGAATTCATGGGAATTCATCTACCAAGAGTGCTTGATTGGTAAGTGGACAGACACCTCTGGAGAGTCAGCGCACTGAAGTTGGTCAAGGGGCAAGACATGTCAAAGGAAAGGGAAAGGAGCAATAGACGGGAAGGAGGATGATGAGGGGGATGAAGGATGACGTCAGGGCTCCAATACAAGATGCTAGCTATGTAAGATGGAGAAAGATTCCTGTGGGTTTTGTATGAGAATCTGCTGCTTATCTTTGCAGCAGTGGTTGAGTAGAGTAGGTGCTGGAGGGCAGAGATGAGTGGGCCGATGAGGACACGGGAGGTGAGCAGATGGACAGATATGTGGGGTGAAGACACAGCAGGAACTAAAAGCACATGGGATGGAGCTGAGTTAGAACACTTGCTTTCGTTTTGTTAAAAAGTTAAGAAAAGCTGTGGGTGATGAAGCTCCTGAGAAGCAGGAGTTTGGGGGAAGTTCAGCCATGAGAGATGATCACTGGCAGAGAGGAAGGATCTAAGTCCCATGGTCCAGGGTCTAGCCTTGTAAGATGCACACTTCTTCCACTGTGAGAAGGGCTGAAGGACACACAGAAGCTGGTAGCTTGGGCGACTGGATAATTCGTTTTTTTTTCCTGTCTTCTATTTTGTAACTCATGATCTCCGTCAGCTTTATGTTACTATTTAGATTATTTTTTAAAACACGAGAATTTTTCGACTTTGGAATTTCTGTTTTAGTCTAGGCCATTTGCTAGTGTCTTTCATGGCTTAAACGTAAGTCCTTAGGGCTGAGTGTCTGTCTTGGCATTCTGTCTAAGTGAAGCATTTTGGGATGAATGGATTACTTTCTTTAAGTGGTCAGGAGAGAGTCTCAGAGGCTTGGCCCATCCTGAATGGGTAATCACATATAAGGGTGCACTTGTGAATCCCAACAAAATGAAATGGGTTCAAAGCTTAAGTCTCATCCGTCTAGCACTCTATCTGGCTGTGCAGGGCAGCCACAGACAATCGCCAGCACTCCGGCAAGTTGGTGTTTCCTCCTCCATTGTTAAAAAATGCTTTGAAAGTGATTTTCTGCCCATTAAGGCAAAGATGTTTGGTTAACCTCGATTTCTTTTATGCGATCAATTTGAAAGCTTGATGGAGACAAGGTTTGTATTCTTCTGAGAACCTTCCTTTAGTAGCTCACTCCTGGCTCTATGTCTCATGATAGGACTCTTCCAGTAGTAGATAAATTATGTCCACCCTTTATGAAGATATCATATGCCTGTCTGAAGTTGGGATATGAATAATACTGATGGTAACTTCGGAGAGGGACAGGATACTAAATACGGCTACTGAAGAATAAATCAATCACTCTTCAGATATCTTTTCCACCACCATCTAGCATCTCTGAGTCCCCTGGAGGTTACATGGCTCAGTGGGAAGATTCTCCAGAACTCAGGGTACCCTGGTCTTTAGAATATAGCATCATGGGAGAAGACATGCTTGGGGGCTACAGGAGTCAGACCCTACAAGGGGCTAGTCTCAGTGGAACTTACTGGCTTCTGGGTCAGGCTCACACATTTGGAGGTCCATTCTAATTACTTAAGAAGTTATAAAGAATTGATTATATCTGGGGTCATATACTCTGAGTTAAATAATAGGTTGTGTACAATGGAGATGCAAAGAAATTCCCTGGGTTAGCCTCATGTGCCAAGTTTCAGAACTACTGATGAAGCTCACAGGAGCTCTTGAGAGATTGCCTGGACTGGAGATCATAAGATACAGAAGGATCACAGCTAATGTATTTTCAAGACTTTAATTTCTAGAAATTGCAATATAATACATATATACTCACACACTTATATCTTTGTGTGTGTGTGTGTGTGTGTAGTGTGCATTCTTGTGTGAGTGTGGGTGTCTGCATGCTATGGCACACACATTGGTCTTTGTTTGCTGCTGAGCATGCCAGACAAGCTGGCCAGAAGCTTCAGAAAGAATGCTATTTCATCACCGGGTGTCTTTGTTTTATTTCCCTTACCATAATAAAGATACCCATGAAAATACCATGACAAAAGTCACTTAGAGGACAATGGATTCCTCTTAGAACACAGTGCCAGGTGATCGTTTGCTCTAGTTTGCTTTCTGTTGCTATGATAAAACACTGACCGCACCAACTCGGGGAGGAAAGGGTTTGTTTAGCTTACAGGTTAAGGTCCATCACTGAGGGAAGTCAAGGCAGGAGCTCAAGCGGGAACCTGGAGGCAGGAACCAAGCTGCTTGCTGGCTTGCTTTCCACAGCTTGCTCAACTTTGTTTTTAATATAAACTTGGACCACCTGCCCAGGGATGGGTGGCACCACCTGTTGTGGGTTGGACCCCCTCATACCAATTGTTAATCAAGAGAACACACTACACTATATACTTGCTTATGGGCCCATCTGGTGGAAGCAGTTTCTTAAGGATCTCTCTTCCCAGATGTCTGTATTGTCTAGTTGGCCAAAAGTAGCCGGCATACA